AGAAAATCGTCTCCCCTCTCGTCTCTGTGAGAAACCCTCTTTGGCTAAAACCAGCAGAAGCACAACCACAAAAATATTAAATTCAAAAAGACGCTCATGCCCTTCGCCACTCAATTTGACCTCTCTCTCTCCTCTCTCTTTATCTATCTGTTGATTCTGTCTTATAATTCAAATTAACAGATAAGCAAAAAATTGGAATTTGGAAAGCTTTCTCCTCTTAAAAAAAGTCTCCACTAATTCTTCTTTTTTATTATTATTATTATTTTTGTTTTTGACAAATCTCTCTCTTTTTTTCGTGAGTGCAGTGATAATAAATAAATAAATATATATACACAAACTATAGATTCTCTAGATTTTGCGCCGCTGTCAATCTAGTTGATTGACGATGATTTAGTGAGTAAATATTCGGCCCATTTATCTTGGCCCAAATATTAAAATAAATCATTTAGTCCTGTAGATGTAATTTGGATAGAATTACAAGTTTTGGTCTTATATTTCAAGCATTTTGTCAATTTAATTTGTATAAATTAAAAGAAATTAATAGATTTACAACAAAAAAAATTAGCAATTTTATTTAATCTAGTTTTAAATACATCATGTATGCTTACAAATCTAAAGTATTTGTGATTGGTTAAACGTATTATTTAAGAATTACGTGACTAGTTCTTTTTTTTAGTACAATATGTAGGCTAGGTATTCAAACTTTCAACTTTGTGATTTGATACATATGTCTTAACCCGTCGAACCATGCTTTGGTTGACAATTACGTGACTAGTCGATCTCGAGCATTTGATACAAACTTACAAAGTTAAAATATTGATTGATTTAGTAAGATCAATTGACTTTTTGAAACTTGTTGACCATTAATGGTTAATTTATATATTGATCAAATTTTTTATTTTTGTATTATGACATGTTGGGATATGGACTAACAACAGTTTAATCGGACACAAGTGATTTAACCAGTTTAAGTATATGTATATTTTTTAATCATGTCCAAGTAAGTTAGTTGATTGATTTATTATTATTATTATTATTATTATTATTATTATTATTTTGATTGAATTATTATTACCACAATGTACTGTGTTGTATTTGCGGTCAGTCCGAAAAAAAAAAAAAGTCGTGTATTTTCTACCCGATAGAGTAAATTCAAATGGCATTCACTGCGACTCTTGGCCAATTCCAAGGTTCAGATGGCTATTAAAAAAATAAAAATAAATAAATAAATAAAACCTACTTTTTTTCAAAATTTAGTCTGAAAAATATTCTGGTAATTTTACTTGAACATCGAATATAATTTTATAATCAATATATGCTACCAATATAGTGATTAACGGGACACTCTATATATTGTTGTAGGTAAAAAAATTATAATACGATAAATATAAGTTATTTTTAATAATATTCAACAAATATGGTTATGTTAAGGTAAATTCACATCATAAATAATGCCAAATGACACAATATTTTGTGGTGAATTTAAAATATTGTTAGTATAAAACATAAAAATAGATTTTTTTTTTAAGAACAAATATAAACATGCAAGTAGTTTATAGTGAATTTTAGTTGACAAAAATATATACAGTATCCATTGGTATATCGGTTTTAGACTACGTAAACTTTTTATATTATGATCGGGTTAAACTATAAACATATTCATATTGATTATAATGATGTTCATTTAATCTCCAAGCTTTAAAATATTTAATTATATCACTCAATTTTAAAATTATATATAGTTAAAGACATTATGATAAAATTGGTCCAAATTTGATCACACGTTGTTGCAAGTTGTTGTTGCATTGAAGTGAACAATGAGGTGAAATCAAGTGACACAGTCAATAAAGTGAATTTGATGTATTGCTTAAAAAAATGATGCATGTCATTTTATACTTTCAAATTCTCATTATGTCATTTATACGTCACATCGTACCAATTTAGTTAAGTTGACRATGTCGACAACAAACAATGTACCATAATTTGACGCTATAAATTAGTAACATTTAAATGCCAAAGCAACATAGCTCAACATTGATTGACATCTATCTCAAATCACGAGACTGTAAGTTTGAATCTCCGCCTCCATACGTTGTACTAAAAATATAGTAGTTCAAAAACTAAATTTGTAATTTAACGTTAAAAACGACAGCTCAGATAATTTGCCAGGAAAAAAAGGCAAAATTGAGGACAAAATAACAATTGTAAGTCAAGGGATGCAGAACTTTCTAAGTGTCTGGTACTTGCCTCAGTATTCATGGGAAAATTACAAAAGAGGGGGATGCTTGTTGGGCCAGAAGGTTATTAAACGGAATGGGCCGCCTGGCCCAATTCTGTAGGTGGACACGAAACGGTGTCGTTTATGCAAACCAGAAGCATGCGATTCACGTGCGCGGCCGCCACGACTCCCACGCGCTCGCGTCTGCTCGATTCGCAAAGACTTACTCGACAGAGACACCACGCCTTTATTTATTTATTTTTTTTTTGTAATGCTGTGAATTAAAAAAATAATAATAATAAAATGTATTATGCACCTTGCATATTATTAAATCCCTCTCGTACCATATTATATCATGTCGTCATTTATTAGTCCAAAATTTAAGTAGAGGCATTAAATATCGAGATTTACCATTATTAAATCTTTTTTTTTTCATCATCACAATCAAATCAGAAAATTCACCAGACACTTTTTTAGAGGATCAAACAGAATCATCTACCAAAAAATCAGGTAAATTTATAATTGAATAATTGAAGAAAAGAGAAAAAAATATCAGGGCTAGTTGGATATGACGTGGAAGAA